TCCTTGCAGTCGGTGAGGCCGTGGTGGCAGAAGAGCAATTGGGGCGGCACGTCGCGCAGACCGTCCTGCTGCGTCTCGTCGTCGTCCTGTTCGACCGAGAGATCCCAGAGTGTGACCTGGTCGTCGCGACCTGCGGCTGCAAAGATCGAGTCTTCGGTGGGATGCCATTCGACCGACGAGATGGGCGCCTTGTGCCACTCGAAATGCGCCACGGGTGACGGCGTCGAGTTGGGCTTAAAGTGACGCAGATCCCACACCTTGAGCGCACCCTCGTCGCCACCGGATACGAGCAGATAGTCGGTGCCGCGGTTCCAGGAGATGACGTTGACGTCCTGCGCATGCGCGCCCTCGACCGAGATGACGCTGCGACGGTTCTTGACACGCACGTCCCACACGCGCACCGAGCGGTCGGCCGAACACGACGCAAACACCGTCGGCTCCTTGGGCGACCACTGCAGGTCCTCGACCGACGACGTATGCGAGGTGAATGGCGTCGGGTTGGTGGTGAAGCCCGCATTGCCCGCAGTGGTGAGGAAGATCTTGGAGTGGATGTCACCCGTAAGCAGACGGAGCGAGGAAGCCTTGCCTCCGCCGCCCGCACCGCCGTTGACGACGCCCGCCCAGTCCATGGCATAGCCCTCGACGCCGTTGTGCGCCTTGACCGTGAACATGGGCGTGTTGACCTTGCGCGCGTCGTACGAGGTGCCCGGGCGGTCGAGCGAGTTGAGCAGCGGACGCACGTCAAAGATCTTGACGTCGCCCACCTCGCTCCACGCCGCTACCGGGTACGGGTCCAAGCACGGCTCCAGTTCCGACACGGGCGTCGATGTTGGCGCGGCACGCACGCGGTTGATGCCGCCCACCACGGGGATCGACTTGTACTCGAGGATCGCGTCGTCGTCCAGGTCGTTTTCGTCGTCCTCTTCGTCGTCCGATGCGCCTGTGCACGCGAATAAGAACAGGGTTCAGGTCAGCGTCTGACGGTTAAGAAAGATGCGAAGATCGTGGCGAAGGGCCATGACAGAGCGCGCGGTTGGGCTCAGAAGTAAAAAAATTAGGTAGCTGAGATAGTTTTCGGCATCGAATTGCTCCCCACCCCACAGGGGCGGGGTGCAACTCATACAGCCAAATGCCTCAAGGCATCATTGCGAAACCGGTGCTCGTGTCATGGTGTAGAGGCCACTGCGGGGGGAGCAAACTTACCGTCGTCGTTCTGGGTCTTGTGGAGCTGGCTTGCCTTCATGACGAGGATCTCGTTGCGCGAGGCGGTGTCGGCCTGGGTGCCTGCAACCATGTAGGAGGTGTGCGGGTAGCTCTGCCTGTCGTTGCCGAGGTGGTCCTTGAGGTGGTCGAAGGAGAGACAGGGCCATGTGACGTTGAGGCGGTGGAGCATCTCGTAGGCGCTCTGGTCGGCCTCGAGCGTCTGGCCGTCCTCGAGCTTGGTGACACCGGGGATGTAGACCTGCGCCTCTGGCTCCTGAGCAGCGTCGGCCTCATCGTCTTCGGGACGCTGGATCTTGCCGTCGACCTTGACACCATCGACCTCCATGGTCTCGGCATCATCATCGTCGTCGTCATCGTCCGAGTCGCGCGCGGCGAGAACAGCATCTGCGTCCTCCTCGTCGAACTCGTCTTCGAACTGGTCCTCGAACTCGCCCATCTCATCGTCGCCGTCGGCATCCTTGATGCGATTGAGCTGAGCCGAAGCGTCGGCGCCCGTGCGTTGACGCTGACCGATGGGGGAGGAGGTCGTCGCGGCGGAGGACGCCTTTGCGTCGAGCGAAGGGGAAGAGGGACGCTTGGACATGTTGAAGGGGAAAAGGGGTGTGGCAGTCGAGGTATATGGGGGAAGGAGGCGACTGTGCCTGATGGCAGGAAGGATGGGTATACGGGTGAGCCAAGCAAAGCAGCTGGGAAGGAGATGAAGAGAGAGTGGACTCGAGGCAGCTCTATTTGAGGCTTTGGCAGGCTGCTCTCAAAAATTTCTTCCTGCACTTTTCCTGCTCGGGCCAGCCGCTCGCATCCCAAAAGTTCTTTGGCCCTGCGGCAGGAGAGAAAAAAAGAGAGATCGCAACGCGGAGCTGCTGGCTTCTAGCTTACTCGTGCTTACGTGCCAATTTCTGCCCAAAGCGGTCAATGTTAGACTGGGAGCTGAGAGAGAGATAACCGGAAGGGTCGTCGCCTCGGTCTTTGAAGGTGCAGCTGAGGAATGGCACGAGCGAACGAAGGCCCGGCTTGGCATGCGCTCCATGGCCAGAAGCTGCCAAAGCGGCAGTGCCACACAGCGAGGTGCATCAGCTGCTCTTCATGCCATCTCACCTTACCTCACCCCCGCACCTCCCTTCAGACATCGCTCGTCGCATCGCCTACCTTGGCCTCTTGTCCACCACCAACACCTTCCTTGTCGATCATCACTATCTCACCCTCTTTCAACTGGCTCGGCGAAAATCTACCTCATGCAGTCACCATAAATCGGTCATCTGATCCACCATCATGTCGGGTCTCCTCGCATTCGTCCTGCTCGTCACGGGCATGGGCGTCGGCACGCTCATCTGCGGCCTCATACCGCTCTCGCTTCCACTTTCACACCGCATGATGCGCATCCTCGAGGTGTTCGGCGCAGGCCTCCTCGTCGGCGCAGCTGTCACGGTCGTCATCCCAGAAGGCGCCAACGCGCTCTTCGCGCACGTCACGCCTGCGTCACAGCCTGCAGTTGCCTCTGCTGCGCGTGCACCGGTGCTTGCAACCAGCTTGCAACCCGCCTATCATCCTGTTGGTGCATCTCCCAGTGTCGAACAACACCAGGGCGAGTCATGGGCGTGGTCCTTTATCACAAAACGAGACGAGCCACCAACCGGCGACCACGATCACGATCACGATCACGACCACGACAAAGACAGCCATGGAGCGGACAAGAACACGTTCACCGCAGCCGATGCAGGACATCGCCTGGGCTCGAGCATCCTCTTTGGTATCGTGCTCATGTATGTCATCGACCAGTTCACCTCGGGCTCCGGCAGCTCCACGGAAACACACGACGGCTCGTCACATACGCACGGAGGGCATCACCACCACGACTACACCGCTACCCCACAACGACCGCGTCTCGAGGCACATCGCCTCTCCAAGTCGTTCCATCACAAGACCGAGGGCGGCGGCGCCGCTGCACGCCCGCTGCACAAGATGAGCAGCAAAGCATCGTTCGCCATCTTTGATCGCGCCGATCACGGCGTCGCTGAGGACGACGAGGAGGCACGGATCGGCTCTGCCAGCGCGCCGGACGCATCCGCACACGACGAAGCGCACCGCCGCGTCGACAGCATCGTCACCACCTCGAGCAGCAGCGACACCGACCTCCCCGAAGACTATGACCACCACGACGCCTCCCTCTACCCGAATGCCGACTTTAAGCGTTTCAACGGCTCGAGCACCAATGTGGCCGATCTGGAATCGCCGTCGGCAGGTGCACCGCTGCTGCGGCGGCAGGACACGGCTACGAGTGTGGCCAGCGGGCCACGGCCGCGTTCGAGGCGCAGCCGTTCGGTGTCGTCGGTGCGCTCGGTGCACACGAGCTTTGGGCAGGCGCTCACCACGATTGTCGGGCTGCTCATCCACGCCACCGCCGACGGCATTGCGATGGGCGCATCCGCGCAGTCGGGCGACAGCACGCTCACCATGGTGGTGTTTATCGCCATCATGGTGCACAAGGCGCCCGCGGCGTTTGGGCTGTGTGCCATGCTCATGGCGCAGCGTCTGTCGCGAACCAGCATCCGCAAGGCTGTCGCCGTCTTTGCGTTGGCTGCGCCCGTGGGGGCGCTGCTGACGTATGCACTGCTCGCACTGTTCTTCGATGTCGACGTCGCAGCGGTGCCCGAGCGGGTGGCAGCACAGGCCGAGGGCATCGATGGCAAGTCGATCGGTACTGCGCTTGCCTTTTCGGGCGGCACATTCCTCTTTGTCGCATTCCATGCCGTGCTCGAACTCGCCGGGGCCGATGCGGATACGGTGGTGAGGCCGGGTGTGGCCGGGGACGAGGAGGTGCAGATCCTGGGCAAATACCTCAGAATCGTACTGCTCATCGCAGGCGCCTGCACCCCGAGATTCCTTCAGTCGCTGCTCACGGGTCTGGGCGCCGAGCACCATCATTAGCGCGTAGACTCACGGAACCTGTAATTGTACCGCACGCATTCTTTATAGCAACTTTGTGGGATTGTCACATACGAGCCGGAGTCAAGCATGTTTTAGAGCTCGGTCTTCTCGCACGCAGATTGGGCGTTGGTGCGTTTCCTTGCGTCCGACGGAGCGCCAGCCTGGGTTGCCGACGTCTTTGCCTGTGTCTTTTCGTGGCTCTGCGTCGGTTGGGATTCTGGCTTCTCGACCAGCACCTCCTCCTTCTTGCCGGGCACGAGGTTGGTGAGCGCCGAAGCGAGGGCGATGATGGTTCTCGAGCACACCATCTGCCATACGGTGCTGCTGATCGCGCCCTTGGGCGCACGCGGCAGAGCGAGGAACCACCCGACGGGACCGAACCAGCTGTGCTTGGTCGGTGGCAGCCAGAAGATCGGCGTCTTGCTGTACCAGCTCGTCACGCAGAACGGCACGATCGTTGTGATGACAAACATGACCGCCTTGAAGAGCATTCCAAACGTAGACTTGGCCCGCGCCACGTCGGCATTGGTGCGCTCCAGATCCGCAAGCCCCTTGTCCACCCGACGCCGCAGCTTGGCCCACTTGGCGAACTGGTCCTGCGACGACGTGGCTGCGAGCTCCTGCTTGGTGCTATAGATCTCCTTGCGCAGCGCGCGCTGCGAGGACAGCGTACTGCGGTGAAATACCGATGCGAAGATAAACCATAGCTGCACACACCAAGCGACAGAACAAATATCAGTATAGGAATGGCAAATACGGATGGAGCGGCATAACTTACGGCTTCTTGGAGACGCTCCTTTCCGAGTGCGCTGATGCACTGCACCACCACCACGGACACAAAGATGACCACCGCTGGATGCATGATGTCGCGCTTGCGCCGTGAACCGAGTCGATGCAGGGGTAGATGGTGGTGGAAGAAGGAGCGTCGGCGAGATGCAGCTTCTTGGCAGACACGTCGGATCTTCCGCCGCGAACGCCCAGACAATTTGCCGGCCGAGTGGAATTCGACCTCCACACCAACACCAACACTGCCGCTCCGACCTCCTTCCTCGCTCTCTACAACAACACACAGCGCCAAGCACAGCCCACCGGAGCTCTTGGAATCGATGTCGGTCATACTTTCTTGAGCATTGTCTTGCGATGCGCGACAATGGCTGCGGCAGGCGCAGACGAGACTGGCTTGACGCGTGTGGTTGCATTCGGCAGCAACCTCTTCTGCCAGCTCCGCCCCGATTCGCTCGAGGAGGGCAAGGCCGCCTTTGCCGGCGCCACGATCTCGATCGAGGATGCGGCATCCGTCGTGGCGGTATGCACCTCTCAGACCGTGTATCGGACGCACACGGGAGGGATCCACGTCCTAGGGGACGGTGCGCAACTGCTGCAAGACCTGTTGCGCGCTCTACCGAATCCGAGCGCTGCGGTGTTTGTCGGACAGGACGTCTTCGAAGTGGTGCTCGAGCACAACACTGGCGCGTGTCACTTTCTGGACTACGAAGCTCAGGAGGCGCTGACAGTAACTTGCGCCGCGCCGGTGTGGAAGACGGCGGTGGCTGATGGAAGAGGTCGGTGCATGGCGCTGGACGTGGATGGCTGCGCGTACCTTTTCTCCTCCATCGCGGCACTCCGCCATGCGACCGAGGCTTCACGGGAAGCGACTACATTACGCGAACTCTCTCGCTTTGTGGCATATACGTACAACCAGGTCAAGCCGGCGCAGGCGGATTCGAGCTTGCCCAGGTTCGTGGCAGTCGCGGCGGGGAATGCGCACTTTGTGCTTCTGGCCGACCAGGCTGTCCGCACCGAGGCGCCAGTCTGGGTGTATGGCGATGCACGTTTCGGTGCTGTGCCAACGCACCCCGATACTGACACCGCTCTCGTAGGGGCGATCCGCGCGCAGCTCGATACTTCGCCTACCGCCGACGTCACTGACGGGCGGCTGTTGCAGGCGCTGCCGACGTTTTCGCGCGCCGAGGGGTTTCCCTGTCGAATCGGCGCCATTGCGGCGGGAGGTCGACACTCGCTCGCGCTGAGTGAACACGGCGACGTATACGGCTGGGGCTGGAACGAGCATGCGAACCTCAAGCCCATCGCGCCGTGCTCGTCGACCGAAGTGCCGGCATGGCACCGCAACATGCTCGCTGATCCAACGCCGCTCGACATGCCCGAACTCAATGGCCATGATGTCTGCATCGCCAACATTGCCGGCGCCGAGGGACGCACACTTGCTGTCAGTACCGACGGCACACTGCTCGTGGCGGGTTGCAACCAAGACGGCGCGCTCGGCCTTGACCGCGCGGCGCTGGGCGGGGTGCCGCGCAAGCCTCGTTTCGAGCGCAGCTTCAGCCAGATCAAGTCGCCGTTCGAGTGCGTCAACGGCGTGCAAGCGCATCCTGGCTGGACGCGGCGAAAGGTGGTCAGTGTACACGCTACAGCACTTGCGACGTTTGTAACGGTCGATAGCAGCATGGATGAGGCGCGGAAATAGAATACAGATGGACACGAGCACGTCGCGTGTCTAGGCTTGGTTCATGTCTACATCGGTGGATGATGACGCCTCGGTCGCGGGCGCTGGGTCTTGTGGCTGCGTCTCGGCGTGTTCCGCACTGCCAGCAGCCGCAAGCACGGCGAGTGTGGCCGTGTCGGTGGTAGGCGCGGTGGTGGGCTGGGTGTGCAGCTGCGCCTCTACCTGGGGCTGAAGCTGCGGCGTATTGGCGCCCGTTCCCGTCGCGGTCCCCTCGCCCTGTGACGACGGGCCTTGGCTCATTGCCTCTACTGCCGTCGATGCCGCAGTTGCTGGTGCTGGTGTGCTGTCCTCTCCGGCCGCAGGCGTGGCGACCGAGTCGGTAGGCGTGCTAACTCGCGTCGTGTTGGCCCCAGACGTAGGCTCCGAAACCTGCGCCATATGCGGCGGAATGGCCGATGCAACAGCCGGCGCCGGCTCTTTGGGCGCTATCGTACCGAGTCCGCCACTGACGCTCAGACTTGCAGCCGGTGTCGGCACGGCAGGCGCGTTGTGGATGCTCTGTACGGGCGCCTCGACAATCGCCGCATCGTCCGAAATGCGGTCTTCAGCTTGCACGTCTTGCTCCTCGGGAAACGTGGCGAACGTGTCGGCGCGCACCCACTTGAGGATCTTGACGCCCACAGCAGTCGACGAAGATGCATCCGACGTGCCCGAGGGGATCACCCACTCTTGTCGCCATTTGCTGCCACACGCAACGCACCAGAGCATCATACCCGTCAGCACTGTCGTCAAATGGGGAGGTCTCGGCGAGGGAAGACTTACGCAACGGGCTCGGTCGCCTGCCTGCGCACCTCGTGCTCGATGTTGGGCACGAATCGGCCTCCGAATCTCGACATGTCGATGCGGCTACTAGCGAAGAGAAGCAGGTGAGAGGAGTTGTAGTGTTGGATGGAAAGCATGCCGAGTCGCGTACTCACCGAAACGCTGCAGCAGCGCGCCGCTGCAGATCTCAAATTCCGGCTTCCGAGGATTTTGACACTCGACCATATTCATACACTCGAACGTTTGTGGGCAGGCTGTGATTGCGCTGGATGATGATTACAACTACACGAGACATGGCTAGTATACACAGATCCGCGCCGTGCAAATGCGGATCGGACATGTGGCCGAGAAGCTGAGAATGCTGCTGGAGTCTATGCTCTTGCAAAGGTGATCTGAGTGCAAAAGTAGAAAAGAGTCAATAACGAGCAATGAAGCCGATGCAAACACTTGGGAGGACGCACCTTGAGTTTGTCGCCGGCGCCAAAGTTGTAGCCGTTGAGCGCGCCGCGCGCCGTGACGCTGGAGGGAATGTCGGAAAACTCGACGAAGGCAATGTCGGCCTTGCCCGGGATGGTTTGCACATCCACATAGCCAGAGTATCTGCAGAGCAAAACCAAAAGGGAGGGTTAGCGTCAACGAAGCACAATCGAGCCATGGGATGGATAGAGACGTACGCTGAGAAGAGGCTCTCGAGCTCGCCCTTGCCGACGCCATCGGGGATCTTTTGGAGGAAGAGCATCTTGTTGGGTGGCAGATACTCGTCGGGCATGTCGTGCTGCGCGCGCTTGGCAGCTGCGCCGGACGCCTTTTCGGGCTCTGCGATCTCTCCTGCTGCGGCCCTCTTTGCACGGATCTTCTTCTCGAGCTCTCTCCTTCGAAGCACGTTGCCTCTGCGCGCCATCTTTTTGTGTTCGAGCCTCTGCTCCTTGTGTTTTTGGAAGTCGTCCGATTCCTTGCCGCCGCTTTCGGCCGTCTCTCGCGCCACCACCGCATCCGACTTGGACTTGGCAAAGCTGATCTTCATCGCCTTGCCATACAGCGGGAAGAGGTGCGCCTCGCGACGTGCCTTGTCGGCAGCCTCGACGCTGTCGAGCGCAACGAAAGCCTGACCACGCATGCGCACGTTATTGTGAGAAGTGACCGAGAGCACGTTGGCATAGTTGGAAAAGAGGTTGGCCAGCGTCGCCTTCATCGTCTCGAGCTTGACCTTTTCGTTGAGATTCTGGATATAGAGCGTCTTGCCCGCATCGGCTGGCAGCGGCGGCGCCTCTTCTGCGTTGCTTTGGTCCATGGGCGCGCCAAAGGAGGGCGGCGGTGGTGGAAGACCGGCCATGCCTGGCGGCGGAACGGACGCAGCACCAGCTGGATTCGACATGGCTCGGTGCCGGATGGAGAGAGGTGTGATCAAGAGATGAGCAAAAGTCGATGGATGTTCGGAGAAGCCGAAGAGGCGACTGCGACTTGTCTCAAGCATCGGAATTCGGGCGATGCGAAGCGCTGGAAAAGTGCCGCCACTTTGGCGTGCATTCGAGCCGCAGCAGCACGCAGCCGCCCTCCCAAGCCCAACCGAACCCTGAAATCACGCTTTCGCATTTTGGCCGACGCGCCTCCTCGCCAAGATGGAACTTTTTGCCATCCACCAACCGGCCTCGGCCTGCTTCCGAGCCTCCATCCATCTCAACACTGTCCCTTCTGCACCAGACACTGTCAACCCGACTCTCAATCCTCTCCTTCCCCCAACAAAGGGCCCACCAGGTGGTGATCGTGGCCCAACATGTCGTCACGCATCGAAAAGGGAGGAGCGCGCTTCAAACCCTCCATCGTACCCAGAAGATCCGCCGCCGGCACTCCAACCGCCAACAGCACCGCAACTCCCGCCTCTTCCACAGCGCCCTCGCCTTCTGGCTCTCAACAGCAGTCCACTTCGACATCGGCTGCTGCCACTCCGCCCGCTTCGTCCGCTGCGCCAGCTCGCAAGGCGCAACTCATCACCCCACGACGCAATGTGCCCGTCACTCCATCCCAGACAGACGCCGCCAGTGGTCCATCCAGGCTTCACACAACTCAAAAGTCGCAAAGCTACGCATTCACGGCGCCGTCTTCGGTCATTGCCAAGACGCAAAGCTCTCCTGCCACGCGCACCAGCATCACCGCCGGACAGCCATCGACCAGCACAGCCGCCGGCACAGGCGCCAAACCCGTCTTTCGCAGACCGTCCGTGTCCAAACCGCGTCCGGGATCGCGCACCTCGCTCACGCCAGCCCCGGCTTCCTCTCTGCCTTCTTCGATCAAGGTGATCCCGTCATCGGACCGCGCAGCGCCCCCTATCGACGAAGAGGCTGCTGCCGAAGCGACCGAAGCAACCACGTCATCCGCTCGTTCCAATGCACCGCCCAGCATTGGGGGCTCCCGTACCTCGCGACGCGACGACGCCAGTGCCATCCACGCAGGTGTAAGCCGCGACGCTGCGTTGGTCCAGTCAGACAGCCACCAAGTCGCGGTGGACAAGGCCTCACAGCCTGACCCCATCCAGGCTCCAGCACCTCCCACTCGCGCCAGATCTTCCACCGCCACTTCGGCACCTCCAAAAACACCGCTCAAGGAAAGCGCATCCCAGGCTGACAACACGCAGCAGATTTCAGAATCAGTCGCCCCTTCAGCCAACGCTAAAGGGAAAGCACGAGAGGTTGTCGACAATTCCGGCACTGCTGTCGGACAGACTGCTCCGTCGCAGAACGACACGCAGGACAAGGCTGAGCTTGCTGCTGCGCGCCGTCGCACCACTGCAGACCGGCTGCAGAAGCGCAGGCTCAAGCGCAAGGAGCGCGCCTCGGGCAAACCCAGCCGTCCGCTCTCGGCCTATCTGCTCTACGTCAACTCGGTGCGCGCAGACCGCCAGTTGCAGAACCCGCAAATGTCGCTCACAGCACTCACAAGTGCTATTGCGGCCGAATGGCGCGAGCTCCAACCCGAACTGCGCGGCCGATGGGAGACTGAAGCTGCATTGCTCCGGCAGAGATACGACTCAGAGCTCGAGGCGTGGAAGCAGGCACATCCGGAAGGCGTGCAACTCGGCCCCGAGGACGAGAGCGACATGGAGACCACGTCCGAGCTCGACGACGATGGCGCGCCCATCCGTCGCAAGAAGCGCCGCGTGACGGCCGCGCGCCAGCCACACACCGTGTCCGACGACGAGGAGGAATATCGCAAGCAATTGTATCAGGAGGGTCCACAGCTCACCGCCAGCCGCATCGACCCCAACGACGTCATGATGGCCGACATCAGTACCGCAGAGTACAAAAAGGGGCGTGCAGGACCCAGGACGTTCGAGGCAGAGCGCGTCTACAATCGACTCGTTACAGAGAGAAGGGCGGCTGCACGCTCGGCTATGCTGGGCGGACACGTGCTGGGCGACAAGCTCGATGCCGCCTCGCCCTCGCCTGCTCCACCCAGTCGCGTCCTACGTGCGACGAACAGCGCTCCCGTCGACGCAACTCAAGAGGTGCTCGAGGGCGAGGAGGAGGAGGTCGTCGGTGACCGAACCGAAGATGATGAGGATGAAGATGCCGACTCGGACGACGATTCCGACGACGCTGCCTCGGCACGCGCGCGGCGCAAGAGGGAGGCGTCAGTGGCGGCGACCGACGTGTCGTTCCGCGAGAACCGATTCGCGGTGCAGACGCGTATCGTGGACGGCAAGATCGTGCTCGATGAGACATCGCTGTTCGCCAATTTCGGCAACGAAGAGGACCGCGACAACATGGAGGTGGTCGACGAGCGCGAAGGCGACCGCTTTGTGAATGCCGCCACGTACTCGCGCAAGCTCGGCCGCAACCGCAAGTGGACTGCCGACGAGACGGCCAAGTTCTACCGCGCGCTACAGCAGTGGGGCACCGACTTTGAGATGATAGCCCGTCTCTTTCCCGGCCGCGACCGTGTGATGGTCAAGAAGAAGTTCAACGTCGAGGAGCGCAGCAACGGCAAGCTGGTGGACGAGGCGCTGCGCAATTCCATCCCCGTCAATCTCGAGGCGTACGCAGCGGCGATCGGCGTCGATCTCTCGGGTCCGCCGCCGGAGATCAAGGCGGATATTCAGGATATCGCCTCACTCGCGGTGCCCGAGGGTGTCATTAAGAAGCGCGAGGGCACAGCGCCCATATCGGGCAAGAAGGGCGGACGCAGCGATGCAGAGGACGACGCATACGACGACGACGGCTACGAGTACGAAGAGGTGGTCGAGGTGGACGACGACGGCAACGAGCAGGTCATCCGCCGCCGGCTCGGCAAGAAACCCGGCAGTAGAGGCGCTGGCAGGAAGCGCCGCAACTCGGCACGCAAGAACTCGGTCTCTACCCCCGCTCCCCCAGCAGCCTCCGCGGGTGGGGCAGGCGCGGGTGCGGGTGCTGGTGCGGGTGCTGAAGCCGATGGTGATGCAGACGCGGCAGCTGGTGGGGCAGCGGGAGCCGGCAGGTCGGGCGGACCACCGTCGATCGGCTCGCGCAAGAGCACGCGCACCACCCGACCCCGCGCCGCATCGACTCGCGAAGCGCCCGGCGACGGCAACGAGGTCGAGCAGATTGTTGGCGAAGCCTAGACCATGGCGTCGTCCAAGTTGTTTACGCCTTGCTCATTCGCAGCGAACCAGCCTTTTTTCGAACATCGCTTTCGATGCTTCGTATGGTCTCAGATCGGTCAGATCGGTGAGAGTGAGCAGAGTGAATGGCGCCAAGGTGCGGCTGATGGACCGCTCGGATGCGCAGGCTTAAGCGAGGCGTAATCGACTTTGTGGGCACGGTGAGACCTTTCTTTTTCGGCGACTGGGACGTCATCGGCGAAAGGCGAGGTGGAGGGCGCGCGTTGAGTGCACTTTTCGAAGAGTTCGTGCGGATGAGATCAGCAGAGGCGCTAAGACGGCGTTTATGGAGCTGTCGGCTTGCGTCTACTTGTGCGTAGTGCATCGGAGTCCGGCGATCAACTGTCGCAGCCGGGACGGTGTTCGGAATGTAAGCTCCACTAGCGTGGGATTGCGCGAGTGAGCAACAGTGAGTATGACGCTTCGTCACCCGTAGATCCCGCCTCTGCATTGGGACGCTCAGCCGTAGATTCCGCCTCTGCATTGGGGGACAGGGGGATCAGAGCGCTCTGTATATATACATGCCCTCATCGCGGGTCGAAGAAAGGGACATATATCGAAAACACTGGCAACCATGGTCGCAGGCAAGGTCTTCTCTGTGCTTCCGCTGCTTGGCTTGGCGCTGGGTGCTTCCATCCGCCTGGACGCTCGACAGAGTGATGGCTCGTCCAACTCGAGCTCGACTGCGGGGCCATATGGACTGTCGAATGCCGACTGTTCGAACGTGACGCTCTCGGTACCCATCAACATCACGCTGACCAACTTCACTGGTGTCGACAACACCTACTCGAACCAGTCGTACATTACGAAGCAGGTGATCGAGTTTACTCAAGCCCAGGCCAACTGGACGAGCGAGCACGTCTCCAACACCACCTTTGCGCTCAATCGCACCTTCTCCATCGCGGGCACGTACTGCAAGCCTCGTCAGGGCGGGGACAACGATGTGCTGATCAACCTGGTACATGGTATCGGCTTCGATTCGAGCTACTGGGACTTTGCATTCAGCCCCGAGTACAGCGTGGTCAAGGTGGCGGCGAGCTATGGCTACGCGACGTTCAGGTACGACAGGATCGGGACGGGCAAGAGCGAGACGCCCGTGGGTGGATTCCAAGTCGCACGTGCACAGACGGAGGTCGCCATCCTCCAAGGCGTCCTGGGCCAGCTGCGCAACTCGACTACCGTGGGTGGCAAACAGCACGACAAGATCGTAGGTGTGGGCCACTCGTACGGCTCGGTCCAGACCCAAGCTGTCACCGCCCAGTCGCCGCAACTGCTCGATGCAGCGATTTTGACCGGATTCACCACCAATAGTAGCAACCTTGGGGGCTACCTCACCGCCGGCTCTTACTCGATCGCCAACCGCATCTTCCCAGACCGTCTTGGCGACAAGCCCGACACCTGGCTGGTGACGGGAAGCAACGCGAGCGATATTACGGGCTTCTTCTTCCCGCCGAACTACGCGCAAGAGGCGTTCGATCTCGCGCGCGCCACAGAACAACCCGTGACGCTCGGATCGCTCTTCACCGTCGGCGATGTAGGCGGTGTGGCGCAGAACTTTACCGGCCCCGTTCAGGTCGTCAACGGCGCCAACGACTTTATCTTCTGCTCGAGCAATTGCTGGGCCGGTCCCAACGGCACCGACATCCCCTCTGGAGTCAAGATGCTCTACCCAGCCGCCAGCAACTTTACCTCGTACATCGCCGAGAAGACAGGCCACGGCATCACCGCCCACTACAGCCAGCCCGAGGTGGCACGAGAGATCGTCACCTGGATCCAGAGCCAGAACCTGTAGTTTTTGTTTCCCCATCCGGTCATGAATGCAACTTCTTTTCACTCATCGGCTCCGCGGGATGTGTGTGATGTGGCGTGATGCCGATGCTACAACTTTGCCTTTTCTGATCCTGCGATCTTGACAAGCAGGCCCTCAAGCGGGACTCGGAGCTGCTTGGGCATCGTTGCCGGTCGCCTCGTTATCCTGTCGACAAACACGTGCGTGGATGTGATGAGCGCCGCCGCCTGCTGTGCGTCGTGCACGCCGTGCTGGCCGTACTCGCTGATCGAGACCTGGTACGTCACCGAGCTCGTTCCCAGCTTGACCACGCGCAGTCCAACGCGGAGCGGCGCCGGGAAGGAGCACGATGCGAAATAGCGGCACGAGTTGCTGATCACCAACCCGACCACGTCGCGCGACTGCTTCTTGTCCGTGCTCGGCGCTGGCGCCGAATCGCCAGGATGGATGAACGGCTGGATACCGCACTTTTCGATGAGAAACGCATTGATGACCGAGTCCGCCACGAGGTAGTACGCCGAATTGTTGAGGTGGCCATATCTGTGCAAACGCAATCATGGTTAGTCGAAGTCGCGAGATAATTGGGAGGAAGGAGGTCGACTCACTGATCGTTGTCCAGCCAGCGTGTCTGGTATGTTGACACGTGCGGCCATGCACCGCTTGCCTCCGCCATATTGGACACGGTGTGCACTTGCGCTCTGGGAAAGGTTAGCAGGTCGAGATGGTGGTCGACGAGGACGTAGCGTCCACACCGGAACCGGCTACTTGGAGAAAGCCACCTTACCGAAGCGCGTTTGGGCCAATTCCGCTTCGATTCAAAATATTCGAGCCACCTCAGAAATTGCGCTATAAAAATGGCGTCCAAAAAAGCTACCTTTTTTGGCTCACACCACACAGCCCAACCAACAACATAGGGTATCCATTAACATCCATTGCTGTGCTCGTCTTGAGCAGATTGAAGGGGTATCTATTAGTTGAGCGCAAGCGCGTGCATGAGCTGCGTTGCTGAGCGCACGGTCGGTGTTGTCTCGTTCGTCTCTTTGGTGAGCGGAGTGACCCGCGTGGTTGCCCTGCCCTTGCGTGGTGCAGCCATGGTGGCACGGGGATGGAGCGACTTTCTGCGGCCCGTTGCTCGCGGAGCCTCATGGCTGGCCAGCACGTCTTGTGCCGCTCGGTCCAGTTGCTCCGTTGCGCTGACCAGAGCCTTGTGCGCCCGCCACTCGCGCATTGCAGCTGCGTCCCCGCCATCGGGCTGCGCGGGGGTCTTGCACGACTTGCACTTGGCGTCGACGAGCTTGTGCGCAAGATAGCGCAGCCAGAGCATGTTGGTGGCGGGGCAGTGCGTGTGCCACTGCCCGAGCGTGGCGAGGCGCATCTCGCGGTACACGTCGAATTGCGTATCGCCCGAGCCCTCGAAAAGCGTCTCGTCGTCAAAGGGATAGAAGAGGACTTCGGCTTTGCTCTTGCGGGCCTTGCTAGTAGCAGTGGTGGCGCGCGACAGGGTGAAATCGATAATGGTCGCTTTCACTCCCGATCCGTGGGGATCCAACAGCCATTCGGACGCGCTGGTGGTGGCTGGGGCATCGCTGGTTGATACGCTCTGCACAAGGATGTTGCCCCAGTGCAGATCTCGGTGTTCAAACTTGTACCTTGCTTCCATCTCGGCCAAGCCTGCCGAAACCTGCCAAAAGATCGAGGCGGCCTGGACCCAGCTCTTGACGCGCAGGCTTTCGAGGTCGACGCCGCCGTCGGTCATGACGAGGACGGCGTAAGCGTGCGAGCCACCCAAAGCGTCCGGTCGGATGTTCTCTGCACCCTCTCCCGTCTTGGCACGGCGCTTGGCATCCCATCGATCCCACGCCTGCAGCAACGGGGCCGGGTAGCCCCCCTTGACCACATGCGCGGCCTGCAGCGAGACGAATGCGCCCGCGCTCGCGGCTTCACGGCCAATCAACTGCATGAGGCGAACCTCGCGCTCGACATCCGCCGCAGCCGACGTGTACGGCAGCTCGTCGTCGCTTGCGCCTCCCACCGAAGCTGGATTGGCAACTGGGATGATCTTGATGACCAGCGCTTCGTGTGCTCCGCTGTCCGTCGTGGCCGAGCGCGCCGCAGGGAAGATCTTGAACACTTCGCTGTAGCTCGCCTCGCCGATCTTTTCCAGACGCCGTCTGCCCTTGGTCGAAGGCGTGGATCGTAGCTGCTGGATCGTTTTGGCGAAGGGCTCGGGCGCAGTCTGCGAGACGGCAGCAAGAAGTGCGCCCAGGTAAGCATCTTGTTCGGGGGCGCCCTGCTGATCCGTTACGGTCAGACCCGAAATTTGTGCGACAAGGCTTGCGGCAACATCGGCTTCATCATCGTCGTCGGATCCTGCAGCGCATGCTTCCGCCTCGTCGTCGCTCAAGTCGGCAATTCGTCGGGTGACGTGTTTGTTCTGCTTGCGTTTGGCCTTGGCCTTGGTAAGCAGAGTTGTGCTGAGCTCCTGCTCGGGCATTTCGTCAATGCTAGGAATGACGAGGCTGAAGCTAGTCTGAGTGGAGCTCGCATCGGACGATGACGAGTTGGCGATGCTCGATGGGAGTGCTGCTCGCGAGACTGTGGTTTGCCTTGGCCGCGTAGCCATCGACTTGCGCGACTTTGCCTTGACGCTCGATGCATCCTTGACGCGCTGCTTTTCCTGCTGTTCTTCCGAGGCAAGCTCGGCAAGTTGGCGCGCTTTCTCTGCAAAGTAGGACTTGGTGGGTACCGGCCGACGGGGCGTCATATCTCGGTCGGTGAAGTCGTAGTCCTCGATGGCGACACGTGCAGCTTGAGCTGCACGTCGTGGTGCGCGGCCATTGGAAAGATTGGACGGCGGGGTGGACGCAGTCGGCAAGGCGTTGGACGATTTGGCCGGTGGCTGGGTGAGGGCTCGCAGTGTGGCGGGTGACTCACGAGCAGTCCTTTTGGCGGGCGCGGTGCGTGCTTTTGGGGTGCTGATGACGGTCTCGCCTGGCTCGGCTCGAGCTGCAGCCGCCTTGTTGGATCTGTTGGTTGACTTTTTCTTCGATGCTTTTTGCGGCGATGTGAAGTTGAGCGTGGTGGCAGTAAGGACGGTAGGCTTTGGCTTGAGTGCTTTGTTCGCCTTGAGAGGCGGCAAGGCAAAAGAACAGCTATGCGCCGAGTGAAACGAGACGCTTGAATTGGCCGTGTCGTACTGTGCGCTCTTGTCCATGCTTGCAGCTTCATCGAGGCTGTCGTCGCTGCTGGCCGCATCTTTAGCAGGACTGTCCTCTAGGATGTCGGCCGGAAATGTTGATGCTCTGGAACGTCCATACGTTAATTTTGGCTTAGGCTGCGCCTTGAAGAAGCCGAAAGGGTCGTTTTCGTCGTTCTCGAGCGAGGTGAAGGTGCTGTGACGGTTGACGACTCGGACCTCAGCCTTGCGGCCGTAGACCGAGACTTTTTTGGCGCTTCCTGACAGAGCCGGCATGGTGAAGCGTCACCCGGTCAGGTCAGGATACGGGAGCACTGACAGCAGTAACGAGAGGCGTTGAAGTGGGTGGGTATGCGGAAGACAGCGACTCAGCACCGTTTGGCACAGCGAAGGTGGAGTTGTCGTTATCACTCCGAAATGGCCGCTCGCTGTGAAAGCTCGAAAGCAACACCGCTCCTCACCGCTCTCTGCGCCGAATTGGCCGCTCCAAAAATCCACGCGAACCACACACGTGACCAGCGACGTTCCCTTCTTTTTATCCGGCAATGTTAGCATGCTTATATAAGCAATGTCGGAACGCTTTTCCTCGCCCAATTTCTTCCAATCGGCTCACCCGACTGCTTCAGCTCAAGTGAAGGCAAAAGCTCACATCGTCTTGCCCTCACCCAGCATTCACCTCATCAACCCCCTCCCGCCGCGATCTCAGCATGTCGTTCCCGACGCTCGGCTCTTCCGTCGGGCTCGCAGCTCGTGCGCTGCCGCTCGCATCCTCGTCGTCGGCGCGCAGTTTCAGCACTTCGGTCGTCACGCTGAAAAAGTCAAACCGCGCTCGCGGAGCCACGCGCAAGTCGCCGCGCAACCAGGCGCTGTTTGCAGAGCTCTCCACCCGTCTTTCGGCGAGGCAGGGCGGAGTTTCGGCGGCATTCACCGGTGCTAAGGCGAGCAAGAAGGCGACGAGCAACCTCGATGCTGCCGAGGGCGAGACGCTGCTCACACTCGAACAAGCGTGCGAGCAGCTCAAGGCGCACGGCGCCGCATCGCGTCCGCTCAACGCATTCGAGGTTCACATCGTCACCTCGGTATCCTCGCATCAGACCAACGCGCTCCGAGGCCGCATCGCATACCCAAGGGATCCAAGGACAAAGCAGGAGCGTCTGCTCGTCTTTGCCGAAGAAGGATCCGAAGCCGCCGAGGCCGTCAAGGAGGTGATGGAGAAGGAGGCCGCCACGTCGTCCACATCAACGGCCGAGCCGCCGATCATCCTGGGCGGCTCCGAACTCATCTCGCAGGTTCTCAACAATCGCGTCAGCGGCTTCACCAAGGTGCTGTGCACCAACACGCTGCTCCCCGAGGTCTCCAAGGGCCTCGCCAGGTCGTTGGGTCCCAAAGGTCTCATGCCCAACCCTCGACGTGGCACCGTCGTCCCCTCGGACAACAAAAAGTCGATCCTCGATGCTATCCGCGAATCCAAGGGCGCCATGGACTGGCGATCCGACAAGGTCGGCGTCATCCGCGGTGCGGTAGGCCGTCTCAACTTTGAAAAGGACGACCTGAGGAAGAATGTGACGACGCTGCTGGATGCCATTATCCAAAAGGTGCCTACGCTCGGCTCGCAGCAGGCGGCGCAGGGCGCAGGTCAGGCAAAGGAATACACGCAGCGCGACTCGAGGTCGCCAGGCGAACTCAAGAAGGCCGCCAACATTATCAAGCAGGTCCACCTCAGCTCCACCCAGGGTCCAGGCATCAAACTCGACCTCCGCGACGTCCTGGCCTGATCCCTTTCATCTGTAGCAATCGTATTTGTCCGCTTTGTCTTGATCGTCAGAGACTCTTCTGCGGGTGTTCGTTGTTGGTTTGTGCGCCAGACTCGCCTCGGACCCACGCCGTCGGTGAGAGCCAGACACGCAGTGAGCTGGGTGGTATCTACTTTGGGTTCACATTTCAATTTACATTTGGCACGGCAGATGGGAGAAGGGGCGGGAGAGGAACGCTCAAGCGGACCAGGCGTTCATGTTTGTGTAGTGGACACCTTCGCGGTCGACGACGGAGCCCATGACGACGGGGCGTTCGCCGGCCTGGCTGAGCAGGTCGAGGATCCTCTGCTGCTCCTGCTGCTGGACGATGAGCACCATGCCGATACCGTTGTTGAACGTCCTGGCCATCTCCTCGGGCTCGACGTTGCCTGTGGCCTGGAGCCAGTCGAACAGCGCAGGACGCTGCCACGATGCCAGGTCGATCTCAACACCAACGCCAGGCGCGAGGATGCGCGGGATGTTCTCCGTGAATCCACCGCCGGTGATGTGCGACAGAGCCAACAGGCCCTTGGCCTCGGCAAACAGCGGCGTGAGCGCCTCGACGTAGATGCGCGTGGGTGCGATCAGCGCCTCACCCAGCGTAGCAGCAGGCTTGGAGCCATCCTTCTCGGCCGACCACGGGCAGGGCGCGGAAAGCTCGAGACCCGAGCGGGCGACAATCTT